GTGGCAAGCTCACTTAGCTTGTCACCTACATAATCCCCCTTTCAGGAGTTTAGATTATGGCTCAGGTAGGGCACTGGAATTTGGATGACTGAGGCATCCGGGGCCACATGCTCGGACCTAGTTCAAGGTTTACGATTTAGGATTTAGGCGTTCGGGTTTCTGTTTTTTCGGGTTTGGGGTTTAAGGTTAGTTTATGGTGACCCTGGGCCCCTAGTATGGGCCCTTAACGCTGGGATCTTTGTATACCTACCATATACCCCCGGTACCCTTAATAGGGTCCCTTAGAACCCCTGTAAAAGGCCTACGTAGGAAGTTTCTCAACACAAGGTACCCTAGCCAATCTGGGTATGCAGAGATGATGAATCCTTTTTCTGTAGGATTTTGCAGGTTGCTTTATGTTGCTTTGAGAAGGTAATGGCAGCAGCGTCTTGGATGGCAGATGCAATGTAAACTGAGTGCCTTTGCACGACCTGCGCCTTCTTTTAAGAGGGCTTCATCAGCATTCACGGGTAAGTCAGATTCGCCCTACTCCAGTGAGCTGATGAGAAATCCCATCTCTGCAACTTTGCCACTCAAAACCATAGAGAAAAAAGCAAGATACTATGCAGACCCAGAACCCAACATTGTGGAAGCAGGAATGAGTCTTAATTCAGGGATAGTCAGAGAGACCAGAACCACCCATCGAATCCTTCATTGGCAGCCCCATAATCCGCTCTATGATCCCCAACACAGATATCTTTCACATTTTCAAATGGCCCTGTTTTTGAAAGCTCCCTAAACCCTGCACCCTAAACCCTAATCCCTAAACCCTAATCCCTAAACCCTAAACCCTAATCCCTAAACCCTAATCCCGAATCCCTAAACCCTGAACCCTAAACTTGACCCAGCCTTTCTCGGCCCCATTTCACCACCGCGCAAAGGACTTGAGGTGACTTAGCTTCTCGATTGCCTTTGTAAGAACGGTGTTTAGGATTTAGGGGTTCAGGTTCTGGGAATGTACAGAGCAGTCTTCAAAGTTGGGGCTCCCTCTTTCAGGGTAACTCCTAGTATGAATCTCCTGTGAGGAATTTGGGGAAGGATCACTTCGAGGCCCCTGCTTTCTTTGAATAAAGTAGCTATAACTCGAAGGATCTGACAACCCCATAATGTCCCCCCAAAAGCTTGAGGCACTCAAATCCCGAAGGTCTCGATATGAAGGCTGCAGGTTTCGAGCTTCCGCTGGTCTACCCTAAACCCCAAACCCTAAACCCTGAACCCAAGGTTTCGCCAAAAGGTTTCTAGGCTGAGGCCTCCAGGATTCTAGGCTTGAAATAGAGCGGTGAGGCTTCGAAGTTGTGGGTCTACCATTTGGGCCCTACCTCCTATTCCTAAATCCCCAAGTCCTATTCCTAAACTCCTAAATCCTCTTCCTAACTCCCGATGTCCTACCCCTAAACTCCTGAATCCCATTTTTAAATTCCTAAACCCTTTCCGAAAATCCCTAAGTCCTATCACTAAACTCCTAGATCCTGTTCCTCAACTCTGCTTCAAAACGCAGCCCGGCTTCCCAAAATCAGGAGATCTTTGCTCACCAGAAAGCAGAAGCCCAGCCAAACGGCCAGCAGAGTCAAAGCCCACACCAACCTTGGGAAGTGCCCAGTGCACCGGGGGCTTTAGGGGTTTAGGGGTTTAGGGGTTTAGGGGTTTAGGGGTTTAGGGGCTTAAGGGTTTAGGGGCTTAGGGTTTCAGGAAAAATCCCAAACCCAAGCCCACACCTTACTGGGTTGCTGTTAAGGAACTGAATTTAGGTTACTATATTGGGGACACCCTTGTATAATATATATATATATATATACCCATTATGGTAACTCAATCCAAGTTCCTTAACAGCAACCCAGCTTCAGCCGGAAGCATGGCCTCGGACACCTGCTTCTAACAAACACCTTGCCGGGGAACAGGGCAAACTGGAAGCGGAAGAACAGCATCGTACCCGACCCGGCGATGTTCGTGGTGAGCACGTTGGTGCTCATTGGGTAGGGCTCCGGCTCCATACCTGCTTACTGCTCTGGAAATTGCAGACTGCGGTTGCAAACTTCTCCCGACTCGACGGAGATGCATTTTATGGACGGTGTGTGATGCACGAAACAACCCTACAAATCGTATCCAGCGCAGGCGTAGGAGCATTGGCACTGCAGTTCTGCAATGTTTTTGCAGCTTCGGAGCTTAGTGTGAAAAGCACTACTCGAGATCATCTGATGATGAAAGTAGGCAACATCAAAATCAAGCATATTCCCAAGCAGCTGCCCCTCCCATCTGGGCCTTGCTGATAAGGTTGGAGGATCATCGCTCGAGCCTGACCCTCGTAGCCCTCGTCAATGCCAGCCTGCGAAGAACGGTGCTGTGCATTGAAAGAGATGCCTGCAATCACGACCTGCGATGTGAATGCAAGATCGACCGCGACGACTTGAAAATACGAGTCCAGAAAAGCCCTATCCACGGTAAAGCCGTGACATTTTGATGATCATTTCTGAAAGATAAATGAAAAACCTTGTGAGGGTGCCATGGTAATGAGGCTTGCACTAAAGTTGGGGGCTATCGAAAAGGATGCTAATTTTGAGGAACACCGCCGCAATCCTGTTCCTGTCTCCTATGAAACCCTTCTTGGTGCCCACGAACCACTAGATAAACCCTACATAGACTTCAAGGAAAGTCAACTTCAACAAATATCAGCAGACAGGCTGCAGACTTAAGTTTCGGTTGCCCAAGGCCTTCAAGAGAAAACAAGTCAAAACTTGGACCCTAAACCCTAAACCCTAAACCACTTGGGTCTAGGGCTTGGTGAGTTTAGGGTTCAGGGTCTAGGGTTTAGGGGTTCCGGTGGGGTATCCTCGCCCAGGATGGCAGGTCCTCTAAGAGAATACATCGCAGAAACAGTCTAAACTCTTAGTATCCCCCTTAAGAAGCCTTGTAGAAGTCTCCTATATTACCCCCTCTGTAAGGAATTTAGACTCTAGCTCCTCTAGGTTTTGGTCAGGCCGAAACCATTCCCACCAGAAGCACCTACGAGGATCAAGAAATTCTCAACTTTTACAACTCTGTTGCTAGTAACATTATTACTATGATTACTGTCACTATCAGCACTCTTATTATTACTATGATTGCTATTATTACTAATATGACTACTACTCTTACCATTTTTGCTGTTTTTACGACTGCGGACCTGGAGGTGGATTAACTTTCACGCCGCTCTCAACTTCACAACGCTGAAGAGTTCAAATTGAAGGGCGGGTTAACATTAAGCTGGCTTCAAACTCACATGACTTGGACAGAGCGAATCATAGCAACTAGAACATCAAACGCCCAGCCCTAGACCCTAAACCCTAAACCCCAAACCCCAGCTGCCTGATTGACACAGGGGCGGAAGACAACACTCAGATACCAAAACACGGCCACCACTGCAGCCACAGCACCTCAATCAGCCCCCATGTAATGGAAAAGCAAATGGAATCTACTATAATATATAGGGTTGTATAGGGGATATGCTGGGGTTAAATAGGGATAATGGAAAAGAAAATGGAAACCACTCAAATATGGGGGGCTGATAATTTCGGCATTCCGATGGCTTTTCAAATAGGACCCACGTACGACCTCCCAAAGAGGGTGAGGGTTGTGTCTTGGGATCGTCCAAAGTCGCATTTCACGGATATTGTTCTTCATTTTGCCTTTTTGGCAACCAGAACTTTACCGTAAACCCAAACTTGATGACACTCTACCAGAAATACCAACCCCTTGCCCCTCAAGACTGGACAGCGCCCTCAAGAACCTGTGTGAGTCTCCAAAGGCGTAGATGCTGCAGGATTTTTGGTTTGAGGTTAAGTTTAGGGCTTGAATTGATAATTCAAATTTGGTGGTTTTGCTCGGAATTTTAGCCCCCCCTGTTGGATCCAACAATGTTCGGAACACATGTGGCCAAGATTAAAGCAAGCTTGGGCCTGCTTCAGATCCCAAAAGGACAAAATCCTTGATAGAACGGCTATTCATCGGCAACGCTCTAGCTCTTGTAAATGACCTACCTCTAGAGACCGTCATGGGCCGTCAGCATTTTGCCAGTGTTTTGGGGTAGTTGACATTACCAGTGTAGAGGGGTCACAAAGAAATAGCGTTCACTCCATTGGGACCTTGGAGCTCTGTCAACAAAGAATGCAAAATTGGACAGCAGCCTATGATAATCCCCGAACTACCCCCTTCGACCTCCTACGCCCAAAAACCTTCAAAATGGCAGCACATGTTGCTGTCATTGTAGCACGATTCGAGGATGTGGCGGCGATAGCGGGGCAGTGGCGATGGTGGCGGCGGCGGCGTGGCGATGGCCGGTGGTCTTAATTCATGCAGGCAATGATCTGCTGAGGTCTGGACCCACACAGGCGATGGCAATGAAAACGCTCTGGCCTTGGTAAGCCAAGCTGCCGAATCAAGGAGGGCCTTTTGCTTAAGGCGGCTTTGGGCCTAGCACGCTTCTCCAGGGTGGGGAGTGGGGGTGAGGGCTCAGGATTCAATGTGTATGCAGGGTGGGCTGCTAGTATGGGTGCAGAGGCAGGATGAAAGACAACAAGAAAACCGGAAAGTCATTTGCTTTTGAGAACCGGGCACAAAATGTCTACATGCCTCGTGAAAGCCCTAAACCCCAGCCAATACCGACATCTGTCAGCCAACTCCATTATAGTAGCTTCCAAGTTCTTTGCCATGATCCCTACATTATATAACCCTATATACCTCTACCCTATAATCCCTATAGATTCCCTATCTAATCCCTATATATTCCCTATCTATATATA